CGGACTGAGATAATGGTTAACAGAGACAAACGGGGGCATTTGTATGGCCCCGTGAGAGGTGAAATTCTTGGACCGTGGCCAGACAAACTACAGCGAAAGCATTTGCCAAGAATGTCTTCATTAATCAAGAACGAAAGTCAGAGGTTCGAAGGCGATCAGATACCGCCCTAGTTCTGACCGTAAACGATGCCAACTAGCGATCCGCTGATGGAAATTATATTGCCTTGGTGGGGAGCTTCCCGGAAACGAAAGTCTTCCGGTTCCGGGGGAAGTATGGTTGCAAAGCTGAAACTTAAAGGAATTGACGGAAGGGCACCACCAGGAGTGGAGCCTGCGGCTTAATTTGACTCAACACGGGGAAACTCACCCGGCCCGGACACTGTGAGGATTGACAGATTGATAGTTTTTTCATGATTCAGTGGATGGTGGTGCATGGCCGTTCTTAGTTCGTGGAGTGATTTGTCTGGTTTATTCCGATAACGAGCGAGACTCTAACCTACTAAATAGTTGGTACATACTCTTTGTGTATACAGCTTCTTAGAGGGATTTGCGGCGTTCAGCCGAAAGAAATTGAGCAATAACAGGTCTGTGATGCCCTTAGATGTCCGGGGCTGCACGCGCGCTACACTGGCAAAATCAACGTGCTTGTCCTACCCTGAAAGGGGCGGGTAAACCATTGAAAATTTGCCGTGATTGGGATCGGAAATTGCAATTATTTTCCGTGAACGAGGAATTCCAAGTAAGTGCGAGTCATCAGCTCGCGTTGATTACGTCCCTGCCCTTTGTACACACCGCCCGTCGCTGCCCGGGACTGAGCCATTTCGAGAAATTTGGGGACCGTTGATTTAATTTATCTAAATTATTTTGATGGAAACCAATTTAATCGCAGTGGCTTGAACCGGGCAAAAGTCGTAACAAGGTAGCTGTAGGTGAACCTGCTGCTGGATCATTACTTTATGTGATGTTCAATTTTGAATCGCAATGAAATAATTGTTGTGTAACGGCTGTCGCTGGTGTCTAGGTGTTGCTGATACAGTTGTGAACGTCCGTGGCTGTATATGTGGTGACATGTTAGGACTATAATGAGTTTAAGACTTAATGAGCCTCTTAAGTGAGGACGCCAGCACTCTTTTTTTATATTTTAAAAAAAACAAAATTCCTAGCCTTTCCGGTGGATCACTAGGCTCGTGGATCGATGAAGAACGCAGCAAACTGCGATAAGTTTTGCGAACTGCAGCAGCCTTGAGCATAAAAGTTTTGAACGCATATTGCCGCATAGGGGTCAAACCCTTTGCTATGTCTGGTTCAGGGTCATTATCTTTCAAAGCGAAAGCTTTATTGTATAATTGCTTTTGTGGCTTCTTTATGTTTTAAATTGATTGTTAGATATGTTTAATTGTTCGCATGTATCATCAACAATATTGATTTTTTGACCTGAACTCAGTCGAGAGCACCCGCTGAACTTAAGCATATCAGTAAGCGGAGGAAAAGAAACTAAACAGGATTCCCCTAGTAACGGCGAGTGAATAGGGAAATGTCCATCGCTAAATCATTTTGCCTAAGGCATTATGAGGTGTAGCGTATAAGCCGTAATTTTTAATCTTTTGTCTCAAATAAGTCCCCTTGACAGGGGTTCCACAGAAGGTGCAAGTCCTGTACATTGAGATAATTGATCGATATTTACGTGCTTTAGAGTCGGGTTGTTTGGGATCGCAGCCCAAAGTCGGTGGTAAACTTCATCTAAGACTCAATATTGCCACGAGACCGATAGCAAACAAGTACTGTGAAGGAAAGTTGCAAAGCACTTTGAAGAGAGAGTTAAAGAGGACGTGAAACCGGAGAGGTGGAAACGGATAGAGTCGGCGTATCTTTCAAGTATTCATTTACATTATTTTTATGTTGTGATCTCTGAGCTCCAGATTGGGACAGAAAGAAGCATCATAATTTTCTGTGATGCATTTGCTTGTTTGGTGCTTGGGGATGTTTGAGGCAGATTTGTAACCGCCGTTTTGAGGCCAGCTTGCTGGTACCCAAACAGCGTTAGCATCTTTTGTCTTGGACATTTGAGTATGGCTTACGGGCATTTATTGGTTCGATCTGATTGTAAGTTACGGTCGCATGCGACACGTGCTTTTCATTTAGATCGGTCCAGTTAATGCTCTCGTACTCGCTCCCCATGTAAAAGCCGGTCATCTATCCGACCCGTCTTGAAACACGGACCAAGGAGTTTATCGTGTGCGCAAGTTTTTGGGTGTTAAAAACCTAAAAGCGAAATGAAAGTAAATGGCTCTTTAGAGTCTGATGTGAGATCTTGTAAAAAAGGGCAGCATGGCCCCATTCTAACTGTTTACAGTAGGGTGGAGGAAGAGCGTACGCGGTGAGACCCGAAAGATGGTGAACTATTCCTGAGCAGGACGAAGCCAGAGGAAACTCTGGTGGAAGTCCGAAGCGGTTCTGACGTGCAAATCGATCGTCTGACTTGGGTATAGGGGCGAAAGACTAATCGAACCATCTAGTAGCTGGTTCCCTCTGAAGTTTCCCCCAGGATAGCTGGAGCTCATTAGAAGTTATACTCGGTAAAGCGAATGATTAGAGGACTTGGGAACGAAATGTTCTTAACCTATTCTCAAACTCTAAATGGGTATGATGTCAAAGTTGCTTGATTTTGAACTTTGGCGTTGAATACGAGTTCCAAGTGGGCCATTTTTGGTAAGCAGAACTGGCGATGTGGGATGAACCAAACGCGGAGTTGAGGTGCCAAAGTGCCCGCTCATTAGACACCATAAAAGGTGTTGGTTGATACAGACAGCAGGACGGTGGCCATGGAAGTTGGAATCCGCTAAGGAGTGTGTAACAACTCACCTGCCGAATCAACTAGCCCTGAAAATGGATGGCGCTGGAGCGGGCCACCTATACTCTGCCGTCATATGCTTGTATTTTCCGTGAAAAGTCTTGCAATGACGTGTAAGAGGGTCGTAGTGGTTGCAATGAAGGCTTTGGGTGTGCACCCAGCTGGAGCTTCCACTAGTGCAGATCTTGGTGGTAGTAGCAAATATTCAAGTGAGATCCTTGAAGACTGAAGTGGAGAAGGGTTCCACGTGAACAGTAGTTGAATGTGGGTCAGTCGATCCTAAGGCACCGGCTAAAGCCGTCTAGACACTGCGGGGAGATGAGATACTTAACGGTATATTGTCTACTCGGTTGCCGAAAGGGAAGTGGGTTAATATTCCCACACCAGGCATGGGAGATGGTGATCCGCAAGGATTACTTTGCGCGGTGACGCAAACGAACTCGTAGACCTCGTGTGGAGTCCGGGCCAGAGTTCTCTTTTCTGGTTTAGAGATCATGTCCCTGGAAGTGGCTCAGCCTGAGATAGGGATGCTGGTCTCGTAAAGCGCAGCGGTTCCTGTTGTGTCCCGTGTGCTCCACATGAGCCGTGAAAATACGAGGGAGGCAATTTAAAATCTCCTGCCTGATCGTACCCATATCCGCAGCAGGTCTCCAAGGTGAACAGCCTCTAGTCGATAGAATAATGTAGGTAAGGGAAGTCGGCAAATTAGATTCGTAACTTCGGGAAAAGAATTGGCTCTAAAGGTTGGGTCAGTCGGGCTGTTGTGTGAAACAGGTGGACTTTGCTCGTGGCTGCTTGATCTTCCCTTCGGGGCGGCGCTTGTGGACTAGTAGTGAGGACTGCTTGTGGAGCGCTTCAGCTGCGTACTATTTCGAAAGAGCTGTGGAGCGCTTCAGCTGCGTACTATTTGCCTCAGGCAAAGTAGACCAAAGTGCAATTGACCAAGTGTCGTAGGGTTCAGGCAATAGGGTTCCCCCAGGCAATCAAATTTCACCAGGCATTTTTGGTTTATGAGTCTGTGACGATCCGATTAAAAATTGCCTCAGGCAAAGTAGACCAAAGTGCAATTGACCAAGTGTCGTAGGGTTCAGGCAATAGGGTTCCCCCAGGCAATCAAATTTCACCAGGCATTTTTGGTTTATGAGTCTGTGACGATCCGATTAAAAATTGCCTCAGGCAAAGTAGACCAAAGTGCAATTGACCAAGTGTCGTAGGGTTCAGGCAATAGGGTTCCCCCAGGCAATCAAATTTCACCAGGCATTTTTGGTTTATGAGTCTGTGACGATCCGATTAAAAATTGCCTCAGGCAAAGTAGACCAAAGTGCAATTGACCAAGTGTCGTAGGGTTCAGGCAATAGGGTTCCCCCAGGCAATCAAATTTCACCAGGCATTTTTGGTTTATGAGTCTGTGACGATCCGATTAAAAATTGCCTCAGGCAAAGTAGACCAAAGTGCAATTGACCAAGTGTCGTAGGGTTCAGGCAATAGGGTTCCCCCAGGCAATCAAATTTCACCAGGCATTTTTGGTTTATGAGTCTGTGACGATCCGATTAAAAATTGCCTCAGGCAAAGTAGCAAAGTGCAATTGACCAAGTGTCGTAGGGTTCAGGCAATAGGGTTCCCCCAGGCAATCAAATTTCACCAGGCATTTTTGGTTTATGAGTCTGTGACGATCCGATTAAAAATTGCCTCAGGCAAAGTAGACCAAAGTGCAATTGACCAAGTGTCGTAGGGTAATAGGGTTCCCCCAGGCAATCAAATTTCACCAGGCATTTTTGGTTTATGAGTCTGTGACGATCCGATTAAAAATTGCCTCAGGCAAAGTAGACCAAAGTGCAATTGACCAAGTGTCGTAGGGTAATAGGGTTCCCCCAGGCAATCAAATTTCACCAGGCATTTTTGGTTTATGAGTCTGTGACGATCCGATTAAAAATTGCCTCAGGCAAAGTAGACCAAAGTGCAATTGACCTCAGGCAAAGTAGACCAAAGTGCAATTGACCAAGTGTCGTAGGGTAATAGGGTTCCCCCAGGCAATCAAATTTCACCAGGCATTTTTGGTTTATGAGTCTGTGACGATCCGATTAAAAATTGCCTCAGGCAAAGTAGACCAAAGTGCAATTGACCAAGTGTCGTAGGGTAATAGGGTTCCCCCAGGCAATCAAATTTCACCAGGCATTTTTGGTTTATGAGTCTGTGAAAACTAAGGAAGCCCAGCGTTGCTTAACTTGCCAGATCGGACGGGATGGCGTGCTTTCAACGCGGTATGGTCGTAATCACTGTGTTTTCAATTTCTCAATATTTAAGAAAAAATTCTCTAAGGCAAAGTGGGCGGGGCTATTTGTTGTTCGCTGTTCGCGGGAATGGTTTAAGGCAAAGAGAAAACGGGCAATTATAAAAATGTGTGGGAGAAAAATTAGGATTAAAAAAATTTTTTTGAAGAATTAAATTTTTCAAAAAAAATAAAGCTTATAATAATAAACTTTAATCTTTTTTTAAATTTAAAGTTTATTATTATAAGCTTTATTTTTTTAAAAAATTTAATGTTATTATTATTTTAAGCTTTATTATCAGATATTTTAAAGCAGCTTTATTCTAAATCTGATAATAATCATAAGCTTTATAATCCTAATTTTTCTCCAGCTGCAATATTTATTTGGCTCCAGACAATTGTCAGGAATTGCCATTGATAACTTTTGTGAAAGTGCCGCTGATAAATTGTAAATAATTTAGATATCTTTTGCAAAGGAAATTAAATATATAATAAGCTGTCATTAATTTTTTAATTTCAGATTATTTTCGAGATTTTATTCTAAAATTATCAATATAATCAATATTAATGACAGCTTAATTACCCGCAGACTGGGTAATTCCAGCTCTGCTAACTACCTAAATAAAAGATATCTGGTTGATCCTGCCTGAACTGATGTGTTCATTTCAAAGATTAAGCCATGCATGTATAAGTTTAATCGTTTTAACGAGAAACCGCGAACGGCTCATTACAATGGCCATGATTTACTTGATCTTGATTATCTAAATGGATAACTGTGGAAAAGCTAGAGCTAATACATGCACCAGAGCTTTGTCCTCTCGGAAAAGCGCATTTATTAGAACAAAACCACGCGGCTTCGGCTGCTTCTTGTTGACTCAGAATAACTAAGCTGACCGCATGGCCTTGTGCCGGCGGCGTGTCTTTCAAGCGTCCACTTTATCAACTTGACGGGAGCATAATCGACTCCCGTGGTGGTGACGGATAACGGAGGATCAGGGTTCGACTCCGGAGAAGGGGCCTGAGAAATGGCCACTACGTCTAAGGATGGCAGCAGGCGCGCAAATTACCCACTCTCGGCTCGAGGAGGTAGTGACGAGAAATAACGAGACTGTTCTCTTTGAGGCCGGTCATCGGAATGGGTACAATTTAAACCCTTTAACGAGTATCAAGCAGAGGGCAAGTCTGGTGCCAGCAGCCGCGGTAATTCCAGCTCTGCTAATACATAGAATTATTGCTGCGGTTAAAAAGCTCGTAGTTGGATTCGTATCGGTACCTTGGAACCCTTCGGGTGTTTCTGGGTGTTATCGATTTATCGTAATGTTCGGTTTTGAGTCCTTAACAGGATTTTTAACAGTCATTGCAAGTTTACTTTGAACAAATCAGAGTGCTTCAAACAGGCGTTTTCGCTTGAATGATCGTGCATGGAATAATAGAAAACGATTTCGGTTCAGTTTTATTGGTTTTACGGACTGAGATAATGGTTAACAGAGACAAACGGGGGCATTTGTATGGCCCCGTGAGAGGTGAAATTCTTGGACCGTGGCCAGACAAACTACAGCGAAAGCATTTGCCAAGAATGTCTTCATTAATCAAGAACGAAAGTCAGAGGTTCGAAGGCGATCAGATACCGCCCTAGTTCTGACCGTAAACGATGCCAACTAGCGATCCGCTGATGGAAATTATATTGCCTTGGTGGGGAGCTTCCCGGAAACGAAAGTCTTCCGGTTCCGGGGGAAGTATGGTTGCAAAGCTGAAACTTAAAGGAATTGACGGAAGGGCACCACCAGGAGTGGAGCCTGCGGCTTAATTTGACTCAACACGGGGAAACTCACCCGGCCCGGACACTGTGAGGATTGACAGATTGATAGCTTTTTCATGATTCAGTGGATGGTGGTGCATGGCCGTTCTTAGTTCGTGGAGTGATTTGTCTGGTTTATTCCGATAACGAGCGAGACTCTAACCTACTAAATAGTTGGTACATACTCTTTGTGTATACAGCTTCTTAGAGGGATTTGCGGCGTTCAGCCGAAAGAAATTGAGCAATAACAGGTCTGTGATGCCCTTAGATGTCCGGGGCTGCACGCGCGCTACACTGGCAAAATCAACGTGCTTGTCCTACCCTGAAAGGGGCGGGTAAACCATTGAAAATTTGCCGTGATTGGGATCGGAAATTGCAATTATTTTCCGTGAACGAGGAATTCCAAGTAAGTGCGAGTCATCAGCTCGCGTTGATTACGTCCCTGCCCTTTGTACACACCGCCCGTCGCTGCCCGGGACTGAGCCATTTCGAGAAATTTGGGGACCGTTGATTTAATTTATCTAAATTATTTTGATGGAAACCAATTTAATCGCAGTGGCTTGAACCGGGCAAAAGTCGTAACAAGGTAGCTGTAGGTGAACCTGCTGCTGGATCATTACTTTATGTGATGTTCAATTTTGAATCGCAATGAAATAATTGTTGTGTAACGGCTGTCGCTGGTGTCTAGGTGTTGCTGATACAGTTGTGAACGTCCGTGGCTGTATATGTGGTGACATGTTAGGACTATAATGAGTTTAAGACTTAATGAGCCTCTTAAGTGAGGACGCCAGCACTCTTTTTTTATATTTTAAAAAAAACAAAATTCCTAGCCTTTCCGGTGGATCACTAGGCTCGTGGATCGATGAAGAACGCAGCAAACTGCGATAAGTTTTGCGAACTGCAGCAGCCTTGAGCATAAAAGTTTTGAACGCATATTGCCGCATAGGGGTCAAACCCTTTGCTATGTCTGGTTCAGGGTCATTATCTTTCAAAGCGAAAGCTTTATTGTATAATTGCTTTTGTGGCTTCTTTATGTTTTAAATTGATTGTTAGATATGTTTAATTGTTCGCATGTATCATCAACAATATTGATTTTTTGACCTGAACTCAGTCGAGAGCACCCGCTGAACTTAAGCATATCAGTAAGCGGAGGAAAAGAAACTAAACAGGATTCCCCTAGTAACGGCGATTGAATAGGGAAATGTCCATCGCTAAATCATTTTGCCTAAGGCATTATGAGGTGTAGCGTATAAGCCGTAATTTTTAATCTTTTGTCTCAAATAAGTCCCCTTGACAGGGGTTCCACAGAAGGTGCAAGTCCTGTACATTGAGATAATTGATCGATATTTACGTGCTTTAGAGTCGGGTTGTTTGGGATCGCAGCCCAAAGTCGGTGGTAAACTTCATCTAAGACTCAATATTGCCACGAGACCGATAGCAAACAAGTACTGTGAAGGAAAGTTGCAAAGCACTTTGAAGAGAGAGTTAAAGAGGACGTGAAACCGGAGAGGTGGAAACGGATAGAGTCGGCGTATCTTTCAAGTATTCATTTACATTATTTTTATGTTGTGATCTCTGAGCTCCAGATTGGGACAGAAAGAAGCATCATAATTTTCTGTGATGCATTTGCTTGTTTGGTGCTTGGGGATGTTTGAGGCAGATTTGTAACCGCCGTTTTGAGGCCAGCTTGCTGGTACCCAAACAGCGTTAGCATCTTTTGTCTTGGACATTTGAGTATGGTTTACGGGCATTTATTGGTTCGATCTGATTGTAAGTTACGGTCGCATGCGACACGTGCTTTTCATTTAGATCGGTCCAGTTAATGCTCTCGTACTCGCTCCCCATGTAAAAGCCGGTCATCTATCCGACCCGTCTTGAAACACTGACCAAGGAGTTTATCGTGTGCGCAAGTTTTTGGGTGTTAAAAACCTAAAAGCGAAATGAAAGTAAATGGCTCTTTAGAGTCTGACGTGCGATCTTGTAAAAAAGGGCAGCATGGCCCCATTCTAACTGTTTACAGTAGGGTGGAGGAAGAGCGTACGCGGTGAGACCCGAAAGATGGTGAACTATTCCTGAGCAGGACGAAGCCAGAGGAAACTCTGGTGGAAGTCCGAAGCGGTTCTGACGTGCAAATCGATCGTCTGACTTGGGTATAGGGGCGAAAGACTAATCGAACCATCTAGTAGCTGGTTCCCTCTGAAGTTTCCCCCAGGATAGCTGGAGCTCATTAGTAGTTATACTCGGTAAAGCGAATGATTAGAGGACTTGGGAACGAAATGTTCTTAACCTATTCTCAAACTCTAAATGGGTATGATGTCAAAGTTGCTTGATTTTGAACTTTGGCGTTGAATACGAGTTCCAAGTGGGCCATTTTTGGTAAGCAGAACTGGCGATGTGGGATGAACCAAACGCGGAGTTGAGGTGCCAAAGTGCCCGCTCATTAGACACCATAAAAGGTGTTGGTTGATACAGACAGCAGGACGGTGGCCATGGAAGTCGGAATCCGCTAAGGAGTGTGTAACAACTCACCTGCCGAATCAACTAACCCTGAAAATGGATGGCGCTGGAGCGGGCCACCTATACTCTGCCGTCATATGCTTGTATTTTCCGTGAAAAGTCTTGCAATGACGTGTAAGAGGGTCGTAGTGGTTGCAATGAAGGCTTTGGGTGTGCACCCAGCTGGAGCTTCCACTAGTGCAGATCTTGGTGGTAGTAGCAAATATTCAAGTGAGATCCTTGAAGACTGAAGTGGAGAAGGGTTCCACGTGAACAGTAGTTGAATGTGGGTCAGTCGATCCTAAGGCACCGGCTAAAGCCGTCTAGACACTGCGGGGAGATGAGATACTTAACGGTATATTGTCTACTCGGTTGCCGAAAGGGAAGTGGGTTAATATTCCCACACCAGGCATGGGAGATGGTGATCCGCAAGGATTACTTTGCGCGGTGACGCAAACGAACTCGTAGACCTCGTGTGGAGTCCGGGCCAGAGTTCTCTTTTCTGGTTTAGAGATCATGTCCCTGGAAGTGGCTCAGCCTGAGATAGGGATGCTGGTCTCGTAAAGCGCAGCGGTTCCTGTTGTGTCCCGTGTGCTCCACATGAGCCGTGAAAATACGAGGGAGGCAATTTAAAATCTCCAGCCTGATCGTACCCATATCCGCAGCAGGTCTCCAAGGTGAACAGCCTCTAGTCGATAGAATAATGTAGGTA